GCTCGGTGATTATCGTGAATAAAAACCTCGACTTCGTCTCGGTTTTTATTCACCGATAATCACCTCGCCTTCGGCGAATAATTGTTAATTAAAGTTATTTGTAATATAGAAAACTAATTATCAGTTCAACTGAGACAACTATTGTGTTTACGCACGCGGTCATTGTATTTCAAAGGTTTGCAGCTACACCCTGTAGTTGTTCCCCTTTATAGTATTAGAAGCTATTTTGAATTCCCAGGAACAGAAAATCATGTGCTTAAGGTGGCTCCCTACAGTTGTTGAGAAATGGCAGCGACACCAAATAATTTGCAAAATGGAGAATTTTTTGAAAGTATAAACGCTTGTGCAATCTTTATGCTTAAAGTACGTTAGTTCGAAAGAATCAAATTATGTGTTGCTATGGTAACAATGTGGCCCAAGCGACAGCAGTCAGACACTAAATTTTACACTAAAAATGAATTTATTAAAATTTCCTTCTGTCAAAGTTTCTAAAATTTGTAAGGGTAAAGGGAATATCTAGTGGGATATTATATCAAAACATTAGGCGGAGTTATCAATCGAACTTTTGAGATACAGCTATTTCAGAAAAGGTTTTCTTTCAAAAATCTCAAACCTTAAACTCTAAGGGCGCAAGGTGCGATGGGTAACTTCTTACTTAAGGCCTAAAACGTGGAGTTTGGCATTATAACTTTGGTAAGACAGATAATAAGCACTTATATCAATAAGATGTACCACTAGCAGTGTACTAAGATTATTTGCTCAACCAAAAGCCCTTAAACGAAGTTACCCATCACACTTTGCGCGCTTAGAGTTTAAGGTTTGAGATTTTCAAAGGACAACCTTTTTTCAATTAGCTGTATTACACAAAATTTGTTCAACAAAAACTGCTTTACAGAATTTTTCAAAAATTGAGTATACTAGTACTGAAACTAAATGACTAGTACTTTTAAAAAAGAAAACCGTACCCGTTTGTCTTTTACGTGTAGACCATGGTTTATCGCGGGGAAACGGGTAGAAATTACGGAAAAAATGCTGACATCAGCAAAAATTGGTAAACAAAATGGCGATACTCGTACCCGTAAACCGGAATCGGGGTATCTTAACCTCTCTAATACTAAATGTCTACACGTTTACAATTTGTTTAATTAAGCATTTCAATCAGAATATTACATCGAATAGCGTCGGTAACGGCGTAATAAATAAGTGATTTCCTGCGCCAGGTGTGAGATTAACGAAAACATCCTTCTTTTCGTTTATAATAGAATGAAAAGCCTGATACGTAGTATTAAAACTTTCATATTTTAAAATACTATAGACTTGTTGATATAAATAGCCCATGCATGTGAAGGTCAGTGAAGGTCGATGTTACAATTATCGTGTACATGATTGTGATTGGTTAATTGCCGGGAAGTCAAATGTGTAGCGAATGCGAGCAGATGTTAGGTGAGGCCTCGGCCACTAACAACGTCTGCGCAGGAGG